CCTTCTCATAACAAGGAAAGAGAGAGAGAGATTTTTTGTGTGTTTTAACTCTCGTGTTCTGCGTTCTAAGTGAATAATAAACGAGGAGGGGGGAGTCACTAGACCATATGGCGTAATGTGATTATACACTCCCTAAAGGTGCAACGTGATGCTACATGTATACGGCTGTGCGTTGTGGCAGATAGAAGGGGGAAAAAACACCAACATTCAACACGTGTCCGTGAAGTGGACATGTGTGACGGGGTGCGGTCTGCTGTAAAGCCTTTACTTTATCTCTGCGGGGAGGAACACGTGGCACCGATGGTGGCCTCCCCCTTGTTGTGACTCCACTAAAAAGAGTGTGAGGAAGCGTTGCGGTGGGGCGCATTTCCGCGTTGAAATACTTCCTGTCTAAGTGTAGTTAATTTCCACAGGATGTATCAATAGTACAGTTATAACTGAGGGACAATTCACCACTGAACCTCCTTTTGTAGTATTCTTAAAATACTGTTCTTATGGGGGACCAGCCCACATGGCATTCATTATACACACTAATATTATAGGATAAATTACACAGTTGTAGTGACAATCATTTTAATAATAACAATAATTATATTGTATTTTTGAGGACTATTATATCATTAATTGATCGCGGAAAATGTAAAATATCTGATCAAAATGATTGTATTAATTCCCCTGTGAGAAATAAACGTGATTAGTAACTCTCAAATGTCTTTTATTAAACAGACACTTAATTCAGCTGAACGGTCAGAGGTCTGGCGACCAGTCAAGATCTTTGCAGAGTATGTATGCTTCTCACAAGCTGAACTGCCTCTTCCAGCTGTACGCTATCTCGTCGTCGTCCCCCCCCCCTCTTCCCCCGCGAGCATTCTCCCCTTACGCCAAGATGTCAAGGCCTTGGCAGGTGCTGCTGATTCTGTTTTTGCTACAATGATGTTGTAAGTGGCGAGCTCTCACAAACATCACGTTGAGATAACAGCAAGTCAGACAGAGGCTACTTTTGTTTTGTTTTCTGCTTTTGCAACATCTGCATGCTCACAATATTCTGAGTTAAGCATACAAAGTTACATCTAAGAGAACATACTTATAAATTACCACAATGGATACATCGGCCAATGTTATTATTTTTAATATAACACAATACATTAACAGGGATAGATTCAAAAATATTTCCGGTTACCAATGGGCTGTTGGTCGGACAAAACAAGGGGAGTATTGATCGGCATTTGTTTCACTATTAATCGTCTTTATATAGACCAAACGATAAATCAAGAAAATAGTCATCAGACTAATCCATAATGCAAATAGTTCTTTATGTTCTTTATGTTTCAGTTGTATTCCTGTGACACAGCTAAATTGGTTGCTGGACTGAATGGGGAAAGTAGGGCATGTCAATAGAAGTTGTGCTTGCACGAATGGCAGTAACCCCAAACCCTGACACACACAAACATACACACATCAGGACATGTAGGTAAGTATCAGCATTTAACAGACCATGAAAATTAACATCCATAAAATAAGAAACAACACAGAGTATAACACGCCACAATTGATTGCCATTCTTTTTTTAATTTAGAAATATTTTCTCTTAGAGATAGGCGAATGATACCAAAGCTTGTTCCACTCCTGTGTAGGGCTGGGGGGACCAGTCGGCAACCTCCGGCTCCGACGACTAAGGCCAATGCGGAAGTGTCTTAAAACCTGCATTCTCTCTACTGGCCATCAGGGGGCGACTCCTCTGCTTGCTAAAATAAGTCAGATTTTATAGAAGTCTATGGGAAAATGACCCTACACCACACTTGATTCATTCCCTCAGTAAAGATTGTAAACATGAGTTTATGGTCTCAATATCTAGTTTTCAAGTCTTCTTCAATACAGCATGATGTTCATTTAGTAAATGATGCTCCATTTAGAGTCAAATAGACCATAAGGCAGGGTATGCTTTAGGGCGGGCTTACTGTGATTGACAGGTCGTTGACGCTACCAGAGTCGTATACAATGTTTCTACGTCACTCCTCTGTAGTCCAAAAATGGTAGCTTTCGTTCATTGGTTGCAAAAAGCGATTCCATTACACAAGTGCGTCAATTTCCATAACGTGCGTTGTGCGAGGATGGCTGCCCCTTGTCAAAGCATTGCATTTGTTTATCAGAATGTGTGTAGTAAGCTGGAACCCTGCACAACTCTGCTGACTAATACCCACGGACAGAACGCACGTATTTGGGGTTGGATAATCATTCTTAATGAAATTATTTCCATCTCAAATGTTTTAGGGGTTGCTTGAATAAAAGGAAAATAAAATGCCTGAACACATTTGAGGCATTCATTAATGGCTAAATGGGAAGCTTTGGCGGGCCGTAAGCATGCATACATACCCGATTTGTTTGTTTTTGTTCAGGAGTATTGACTTTTGGTTTTGCAATAAAAAAGAAAAATTGTCACCTGAACACAATGCATGAGCTAATTTAATGACTATCATTCTTCAATCGCATCACATTGCAATTCACATGGGATGTTTCGTAAATGTCAACCATGAAGTCAAAACACATGAGCTCACAGTGGACACTGGGCCTCATATTTTATAATATTTTGTATGTAGGCTTTTTGGACGATGAATTCATTAAATATCTTACTTTAACATATTGCACAGTACCATCTACATTTAATGCATCACTTCTGAGCAAAAGTATTACAGCGTTAATAATAACGTGCAGGATTGTTGAACTTTTATTGCACAGATTTGAGACAAAAACTGTAAATAATTGTTGCCGCGTTTCGACCTGTGTTGAAGGGCTGCTGTACATTTTGCAAGCCACCAGGTGTCCCTACTGACAATAGAGGAAACTCAACCCTGGGGGTCTCTGACGAAAACAAAGGGCAAAGAATCTACGGCATTTATGGCTGTGATGATGGGCCGTTCTTTTTTAGAACATCTGAAATATGGGTGAGGTTATTACTCACAGAATTTGAGTAATCGGCAATGAGGAAGGCCCTCTGCAAAGACCGCTGAGGGGAAGTGGATGTGTATGGGGGGAACCTTTAACATTGGTGAAGTGGTAAAATGCCTCACGTCCAGTCACTCATCAGATTGAAACTGAAAGTAGTGAGAGTTTGAGCGATAGAGGCAGGTGATTCAGAACTTCGATGCTCAGCACCGGCATCGTCTCCCTCAGGCTGCATTCACGCCAAATCGGGTGTTGCGGGATTAGCTCGGGGTTGTACGGCGGTTTGGGGGTTTCACTTAAATGGCCCATTTATGTGACGCCACGCGCTAGTATGATGGGTCCACATCGGCAGATGAACATTTACTTTCAATAACAAACCGGGACGAGAGATAAAAACACCGGATAAAATAATACAAGGGAAAAAGACACAAGTTAAAGATATTATGCCAAATGCTACCTAAATGCCTGCCTGAACAGATGGATTTTTATCTGCAATTTGAAACACAGAGTCTAAAGACCTCGAGCTTATTGGGAGACTATTCGAAAGCTTAGGGGCTGCTGACTGGAAAGTTCCTCTGCGTTTTGGTCATTCATGCTGCTCCTCTTCCCGTGGGCATCTGCTGGTCTGATCTCTGTTAATGTGATTGGCCACCGCAGTGTGACGCTGGGTTGGCGTTTCTCCAAAATTTGATTCTAAAACTTGTCATACCTTGTGGTCCCCACCGCCGCAGCCTAAACCCGCTACCCACAAAAAAAGAATGGAAGGACTGAAGCCTGATTTGGTGTGAATCTTCAGGGCCATACATCCTCTGTGAAACCATAGCATGCTTGGACTGCAAGGCTTGTGTATTAACATTTGGTTAAGGTTGGGGCAATCTAGAGGTTAGGGCAAAGAAGATATAGCCAAAGGTTGAGTAAAGCTGCGCTAAGCAATATTTGTATACACACAATGGATCACATTACGACTTGAAATGTGAAAGATGACACTCATAGTGGAGTTGACAACCCAACAAAGAATTAGCACTGAAGACTGTGGTTGCCCTCACCGTTATAGAGCGTTTTAGTGGCTTTCAGCACATTGTTTTGGTTTTACAGCACCGCCTTCATTGCTTTGGGTCACTTATCAACCTCTTCAGTAGCACGAGGCAGCTGTTTTCATTTTTAAAAAAAATCTGTTGTTAACTGCCAACATTAGTTATTTGTCTAAGGCGGGATGCAAATTCTGTTATCCAATTTTAAATTTGGATGTTGACAATGTCTGTCCACCTCCCCAAACTCCAAACAGTTTTTTGTTTTTTTTGCCTCACCACATAAAGGGCACACAATCCTTGGAAGTCTAGGCTGGCCTGGGTCCAATACCTGAGTTGTCAAAGACGAGTCAAGGATGCTGAAAGGCACAATTTTATGTCAAAGTAAAGGTATAATTAACAAGGAATCTGTTGCATTTGTAGCATATTTGTCATTTTTCTTATGATGGAACTTTCCCATGGCTTGAATCAAACGGCTTTTCCCAGTATGCTCTGAGATGGTTCATTATATTCAATGTCATTCGTTACGTCGGATAACATTGAAAGGGTTGAGGAAAAGGAAGATGGAAGAAATGATACCGCAATGATATCTGCAGTAATACCAATTAGCTGGAGAGATCTTTGTGCTTGATAGGCGGGTGTGTTGTGCATGAAAGCTCTTCTCTTTTATCCGCCTTTGTGAGGAGAGAGAGAACATGGATCTATATGCTGCAACCACTAGGGGGTCCCATGGTATAGTCGGGCTTGTTGAACAGTCTGGTGCTTGTTCAGGAGTGCAGCAGTTCAGTGTCAACATGTCGAGAATGTTTCAGGCGTGAATCATCAGGTGGGATTTACGTGGTCAACCTGAGCGGAGACGCTGCCTGATCTGACTGCAGAACATGTCCAACATAGTGTCAACATGTCGAGAATGTTTCAGGCAGTGGCGGCTGGTGGAAAATTTTCTAGCTAGGGCCATCCTATCAATTTCAGCAAACATCCCAGTATGATTTAATGCA